CTGCCGCCGCTGCTGCTGTCGCTGCCGCTGCCGCCACCCACATCGGCCGTGCCGGTCGACGTGGTAGATGGGGCGACGCTCGCGCCCTCCCTGCTCGAGGGGTCGCCATCGCCAGCGTCGCCCGCGCCCGACTCCTGGGGCGCGGCCGTCGACGCCGGCGGCGCTACGCGCGCCGACGGCCCCGCAGCCCCCGGGGCTGCCGTCGTGCCAAGGTTGAAACCTGGTCCCCCATCCACACGTTCTCCCTCCGCCCTCCCTCCACCTTGGCTCGACGCGCCCTCCCCAACCTCGTTCTCCTCAGTCGCGAATTCCTGTTCCTCCTCTGCGATGGGAGGTAGCGATGCTCGGGTCGACGTCTTGTTGGGGATGGGCTTGGAAAGCCCCTTCGCCGTCGAGCACCCCAGGCACTCCCAGAGCTCGCCCACCAGCGTCGCCCCCTGCTGACTCGCCGTGGTCCTCAGCAGCACCTCGTGGGAGTGGCCGTGCGTGCAGTGNCTTCCCCTCCTCTTTCTCCAACGCCAACTCGTGTTTGTCTAGGGTTTTGGTTTTGAACCCGTCGTCGAAGAGGGACGTCAGAGAGAGACTAGGTTGTAGTCTAATCGAGGAACGTGTGCAACCCGTTTCAAGAACAGGTCTGTTGTCCCGTCGCGCGAGCTAAGGNGAGGCATAGGCATGTTCGGTGTGTGTACGGAAACCGTTTTGGACGTACAGGTTACCGCATCGGGGGAAGCACACCACTTCCCCTCCTCTTTCTCCAACGCCAACTCGTGTTTGTCTAGGGTTTTGGTTTTGAACCCGTCGTCGAAGAGGGACGTCAGAGAGAGACTAGGTTGTAGTCTAATCGAGGAACGTGTGCAACCCGTTTCAAGAACAGGTCTGTTGTCCCGTCGCGCGAGCTAAGGGTTACCGTCACGTCACCATACCCTACAATAGGGAAGGTTTCTCCGGCGGCGACGCGCACACGTCGATCACACGTTTGATATCGGACGAACCCATCTTAGTTCGCGAACATGTGGGTGGTAGCGCCGGTATCGGCAACATACCTACCCCGCCTAGCCTGCTCTACACCCCCTCGACCAACGACTTTGTGACACTCGCCTGAGATGTCACCGACCACCAGCGCTTCTTCTGCCACGTCCAGTGCTGTGGCGTCCGCAGACGCCCTCCCCGCCGGCACTTCCACCACGAGCACCGCCTCTTCGGTCGGGCACTTGCTCTTGTCGTGGCCGTAGCCCTTNNTACCGTCACGTCACCGTACCCTACAATAGGGAAGGTTTCTCCGGCGGCGACGCGCACACGTCGATCACACTCTTCGTAACGAACGAACCCATCTGAGTTCGCGAACATGTGGGTGGTAGCGCCGGTATCGGCAACATACCTACCCCGCCTAGCCTGCTCTACACCCCCTCGACCAACGACTTTGTGACACTCGCCTGAGATGTCACCGACCACCAGTGCCGCTTCTGCCACGTCTAGTGCTGTGGCGTCTGCAGACGCCCCCCCCGCCGGCAATTCCACCATGAGCACCGCCTCCTCGGTCGGGCACTTGCTCTTGTGCCCATAGCCCTTGCATGTTTCATATCGCACGGACTTGCTCTCGGTGCAGTCGGCCACCTGGTGGCCCTTCTTGCCGTACCGGAAACAGCGACCGTGCATGCTACCCGCATCGTCGTCGCCGCCTCCGCCGCCTCCGCCGCCGCCAACAGCCTTGGCGCCACCCCCTTTCCCTTTCTGGTTGCCGCCGCCGCCGCCGCCGCCGCCGCCACCCTTGCGGCGGCCGCCGTTGCCGCGGCCTGGCGCTCCTCCCGCACCGCTACGGTCGCTCGCGAGGAGAGCGTGCTCTGCTCTCTGCTGGCTCTTCGAGGCCTTCCTCCCCTCCGGGGGGCTCGCGTGCACCGTGCTCACGATCCTGACGATCTCGGNTACAGCCTTGGCGCCACCCCCTTTCCCTTTCTGGTTGCCGCCGCCGCCGCCGCCGCCGCCGCCACCCTTGCGGCGGCCGCTGTTGCCGCGGCCCGGCGCTCCTCCCCCGCCGCCACCGTCACTCGCGAGGAGAGCATGCTCCGCCCTACGCTGGCCCTTCGAGGCCTTCCTTCCCTCCGGGAGGCTCGCGTGCACCGTGCTCACGATCCTGACGATCTCGGCCCTATCCAGCGCCGTTGCTGTCTCCAACAGGAACTTCGCTTGTTGGTACTCGGGTGGGAGGGAACCAACGAAGTGGGCGAGAACGAAGGGTTGTTCAGCATTGAGCCCCTTTTCGCGCAGGCAGGCATACCGCAGCTCGAGTGAGTAGAGGTGCTCAATGGGGTTGCTGTTGCTGTGTGTGTGGATTGCAAAGTCGAACATCTTCCGCATCAAGGCCTGTTTGGACCCCTGTGACTCTGGATCGTAGACCTTTTCCAATTCGGTGAGGACCTCTTTTGCTGACGTACAGTTTCTGATGATTTGCTTTGTCAGCTTCTTATACCACAGCAGTAGTGACAAAATGGAACGCCTGAAGCCCTCGTCGGACTTCTGCTCTCGTGTGCCCCCTACGGAGCAGTTCGGAAGTCGGCAAGTTTGG